AGAGAGAGAGAGAGAGAGAGAGAGAGAGAGAGAGAGAAATGAAAGAAGGGCAGAACAGACTCAGGCACCAGCAGGCAGGGGCAGGCGATGGAGACTTGGCGCACCTGTTTTCTTGCCTGAGACAGCAGGAGAGTCTGGGCAGGTGGCAGAGGCTGTGAGTCAAGCGTCACCGTTCTTTACAGTCTCTCTGAGTGGAGTGTTGGAGCAGTCAGTTTGACGGGCTGTAGCCTCCTCCTGCAAAATGTGCTTCCTTTTCGTTCCGTGTAGGAGGGTCAGGGGTGACTCCTGGTCCTTGATGATGGGAATCTGGTTTCCATTCCCCTCCTTCTGGTTTCTCCACCATTTGCTGCCTTCCTGGGCTGCAGGATGGCTCATTAACAACCGCCTTCTGTTCTTGCCAATCTTGTTTACCTGCCTGCAAGGCTGACTCCGATAGTTTTGGGACTGCAGAGGTTTATTCTCGTATATGAGTGACATTTCTCTTTTCCCAGCATCCTTCACCTCCCTAGGCTCCACACAACATATGAGAATTATTTGCTTGCCAGCCCATTCTGCTCCTCTCCAAAGAAAATTGACAAGTTCAATAATACCAGTTTGAGATTGATTCGTTAGCTATGTAACTCGGACGCCTCTTTCCACAGAGGAGCAGTTCAGCTCGCCGCGCTTTGCTTTAGAGGTGATGATCTCCCAGCCGTGAGCCTCCGGAGCGTCCTGAGCCAGAGAGCTGAACACTGCCACTTTAACGCCACTGTCTGTCACAGCCCTGCCCACAGCCCAGACCACAAAGCTGCAACAAGTTCAAAGTTCTGGGGACTTCAGCAAAGCATAGCCTCGATTCCTTTGTTTGCAGAGCAAGGTCTCTTCAGAAGCCTTTCTGGGCTCCCCTGCTCCTGCTCAAGTGAGCCGGCATGCCTGTGTGTCTACTGAATCCCTAAGGCTTCTGAAGCACCCAGGGAGCCATAGTTTGTCCAAAGTCACCCTGCAGGATGGTGGCAGGCTACAATCAGACCCAGAACTTGTTTCTACTAGGCAGGACCCCTTGAACCTACTGGAAGCAATTGTATTGGTACAGGCCGTGTGCTTCTATCTTTAAACAGTCAGCTGGCAAGCAGGGTTTGAAGTCCCTTTGAGGGATGAGTTCAGGCCCTTGTGTGAAGTTCAGACTGCCGTTTGAAGGGGTTCTGGCGGTGCCTGCCAAACAGAACACTCAGAACTAGGAGTGAGAAAAGTGATCCAGTATGGCAAGGGCCGAGAGCAGAGGCTTAAATAGACCTACTTCATTCCTTTGCTTCCAGCTGGGGTTGTACCCCCACACTCTTCACCTCCCCTTCTGGAAAATTCTGCTAAGTCAAAAATCTTCGTGTTTTTCCTTGAAACAACTAGATTGTGTTTCCCACTGTAAGTTGTGAGCACTGTTAGGATTTGTCTGCGGGACCTCCTCCTGTGCCCGGACACGGGGCCAGGGGAAAAGCATGGTTTCAGATGAATAACGTTCTAAATGTATTCTGCATTTTCCTCACCTCTCTGCTTTGAACGTAATTTTGAGTAGACAGGAACCCGATACAATGGATGTGTTCTTGTGTTGTACACAGCCTGTCATCTTGCTACATGGAAAATATTGTAGCCCTCATTCACTAATAATTGATCCTGAAATCATCAATAGTCGTCATAAGCAGCAAACACAGAGAAGCATCCTAGCAATTTAAAAGTTTAGGATTCAAAGAGGCTTTGGAAGTAATCTGAACCAGCTACCTTCTTGCCTTTTCTTAATGTGGAGATCTATCTCAACAGCCCTCAACCTTTGCGGTGTATGAGAATCATCCTGTAGAAACTGTAAAGCGCCCCCCTGGGGGGGGTGTTCTGGATCCCACTCTAGATCAATTAAGAATTTCTGGGAGGGAGATTGAGATATTGGCATTTCCTAAAACCTCCCAGGGGGTTGCAGTGTCCAGCCAAGTTCTGATGAGTGATCTGTCTTTTCTGTAGCTGGACCCTGGGGTGGAGTCTGTTTTTAGGGGCTGGAGATGGGTGTGGCTGTTCATGGTGGACAGCTCTTCCTCTAAGAATTAACAGCCCAGGAAACCATGTGGAACCAATGGGCTGTTTCGCTGGGTAAGTCCTTCAAGCATTTGAAGAGAGTGTCTGGTTTACAACACACTAGATTACAGCCGCTGTACAATGTGGTCAGTGAAAATGAAACTCTGAGACATGCTGTTCCATAACGTGGGTTTGGACCCAGAATTTGGCTACCACTCTTTGCCACTTTCCTTGTTTTGCTTCTTTGATGAAACAATTGGGAACACTATAGAGAAAGGAGTCAATTTTACTTGAGGTTAAAGCCAGTAGGTTTGTGTGTATATAGGTTCATGTGTGGCAGGGGGGGGGGTGCACATGTGTGTGTGTGCATGTGTAGGCCAGGGGACGGCCCTGGGTGTCACTCCTCAGATACCATCCATTCTTTTTTTTTGAGATAGCATCTTTCATTGGCATAGAACTTGCTAAGTAGACTAGCTGGCTGGCCGGTGAGCCCAGAGGTCTTCTTGTCTCTGCCTCCCCAACCCTGGGATTATAGGCATGTGCCACCATGTCCAGTTACGTGGCTTCTGGGGATTGAACTCAGGTCTTTGTGCTTCTTCCCAAGGAAATGCTTTATCAACTGAATCATCTTTCCACTCCAACCAACAGTTTTCTCAGAAGCTAGCGTGACCTATGACAGAGGTCACACTTCTCCCTCCTCCCGGCAGCCTGTGTCTTGCATGCGTGACATCTCTGCTGGGCTGTTGACTTGCCACTGCTCTCCTGTGTCTGCATTCGAGCCCGGGGACAGGCAGACTATGGAAGAGCAGCCGAGGGAAGAAGAAAAAGCAGGAGAGGGGGTTGTCCTCAACACACCCCAATATAAAGAGCCTCCTGCTGAGTTCTGGAGACCTGAGCCAGCACCATTTATTAACAGGTCAAGTTACAGGCTTCTATCTCTTAGATTTGGATTTTGGCTCACGTGTGCTGCAAGGAGCAATTTTGTGAAAGGCTTGTCACCTATTTTAGCCCCAGTTTCTCCATCTGTGAGTTAGATGGCAATTGTAGCTAAGCTTGATGAAATTAGAAAGATACTTTGTGTGTCTACAAAATTAGAAAAATACCTGGTAAAATTTGTGAAGTGTAGCTGGTACCTAACAAAACTCAGCTATTCTTGCATAATCATAGCCTCCCCTCCCCCTGCCATCCCACACTACCCAGCTGCCCCTGATCCACAGGCCAGTTGTCCACTTTCCCTTCCTAATTGAAGTCCCATGTGGTCTGAATGCAGCACCATTGACAAGGTCCCTCAATCTCATCTTCCCCTGTCCAGTGCGCGGCTTGGATTTTGCAGGCGTGGCTCCTTGCAGTTCAACATCCCACTTTGGCTCCCATCACCTCCCAAAGGCACTGAGGGAAAAACAGTCGCACTCTTGATCCACTGCCGCACAACCTGCAAGCCAGACAACCTTGACCCTGAGGAGGATATTTTTCAGTCTCCTTTCTCAAAAGTCCATGTGAAATTGAACTTGGAGCCGCAATTTGCCCTTCCTTTTAAACATGCAGGGAAATCGTGAAGTTTTTAACAGACTCTGGAGGATATGTTCTTACTCCCCTTCCCATTGAGCAAACATTACATTTCTGACCACAGATTCTTGAACTCCAACACTAGCAACATGGCCTTTATTTTCCATTCTTCTTCAATGGATTCTATCCATCCTGCTATGTGAAACTCTGGGGACGTGATCCACTAGACATTATCCTCACCAGCCGACTTTTAAAGGGTATGAAGATGGAAGGTTTTTGAACCACTGAACAGTAGTTCCAGCATGTGTCAGTGAGCAAAAAAATGCTTCTTTGCGGGAGTCCCTGCTGCAAGTCATCCCTGGATGACTTTCCAGGGATGCTGCATAGAAGAGTGATTAAAAAGAAAATGGCCAAAGGCATCTGTAATATAGAGTCTTTACCCCAGTATACATTTCTTGCTGTTTAAAAATAAGTTTAAATTGGGCCCTTTTATTATCCAGCCAGGTCCCCTGAAGTCTGTGAGGAAGCCACTCACTAATGAAGAAAAAGGGGGAATAGATTGAGTCTTACAAGTCATTTTTATGTACCCAACACATGCCAGAATAGTTCCAAATGGGTTGGGTCACAGCTCAATCCACTACTTGACCATCACTATGGGATTAAGGTGGCTTCAAAACAAGCTGAGGGTCAGGCAGGGGAGGAAGAGAAAAAACTGAAGAGTCACTAGCAGATAAGAAAACGACGTTTGACTCCAAGAACTCAGAAGCAGAATAAATAGAACAAACACCAATGTCATTCTCACTCCAAATTACAGCTCCTTGAGGTTTTGGTAAAATTTTCATTCCCTTGACTATTGTAGGAAGATGTTTCCTAGTCAGAGAATGGGTTTTCATTCCTTTGTGCAAAGATATGAATTTACCTCACTCAGTAAGCCACGTGGACAGTCTTCAAGTCTCCTCCAGTCAGACCTGCAGAAAGCACTGTTTTAAGGTGGCTTTAGTTTGGACAGTCTGTGAACTTCATATCCCCTCTCATGTTTCCTACAAGTGTAATAAGTTTGCTACTGATGCATTGCTACCTGGGAAATATTCAGTGCATGGTATGTGATGAAGAAATGGTTCTGTGATACTAAATTCATAACCCATTCTGGAACCAATTGTACCAACTGCCTGATGATAATTAACACACACACACACACACACACACACACACACACACCTACACACACTAACAAGTATGTTAATGCTGCCCTGGAATAGACATGATGTCATTTCCTTCACTTGATTCATTCATTCATTTATTCACAGAACAAGTGTTAACTCATTCATTACTAAGACAGGCTTGAGAGTGTGAGTAGCACATTTACTGTTTCTAAAATTCATATGCAGAGTCTCCCTTGTCCTTGAGTTATATGGATACCAGGATAGAACAAAATCAATATTTGTCCTATTCATCCCGCATAAATATTTTCTCAGACAAGTAGCTATTTACCATATTGAGTCAACACAGACTGCAAGAATATAAGAAGGTTGTCTGGAAGGTTCCCCTTCCCCAGGGGTCTGGTAACACAGCCAAAAGGAGGGCAACAGACATTGATTGTGTGCCCATCATGAGTCACAAAGCCAGCATTTACATACATTAAACATTTCATTCTTATAAACACCCCAGGAGAGATGCTCTCGTTCACATTGTCTTACAAATGAAAGTGCTGGGATTCTGAAAGGTCCAATAATTCTCATCTTAAAACAGCCTGCTTTCCCATTTCAATGGACAAAACATTTCCATCTCTTACTAGTTCTCTCAACATTTTTGACACCTCCCTCCTGCCCCCGCCCCCGCCATAGGCCTTCTTTATCTGTAGCTTAGCAATGGCTTTCAATATCACCCTTCTGCCTATGACTGTCCAATGTGTACATCTAGCCAATATTCTCCCATTATCACCAACACTTGTATCCAGTCATCTAGTTGAAATTCACACTTGGACAATGGACGAGCATTTAAGCTTAAAGAACATTCATGTTTTGCCCAAATGTGAAGCAAAGCTAAGAGAAGTCCTATCTCTCCATCTCCTTGTACACTTGATTCTTCTGCTCAAAAGGTACCTAGAATATAACTTCTTCATACCATCTCCACTGTCACCCAGGTCCTCCACATTCTCCCTCCAATGTCCACATTGGTGATTGTCATAATTTTTTTTCT